CTGACCCTCATGAGTTGATGACCTGGGCAATTAACTTAACTCTCTGAGTCCTACTCTGCTGATTTATAAAATGAGAACTTTTGTTGACTGAGTTGTATCCCCCACAAACAAATATGTTGATGCAGAATACAACCCAGTAACTCAGAATGTGACCTTACTTGAGTAGTTGCAGATGTAATCTATTAAGTTAACATGACATACTAGAGAAGGATGCACCCCTAATATAATATGACGTGTGTCCTTATAAGAAGATGGCCATGTGAAGGCACAGAGAACAGCATGTGAAGATGAAGGCAGGGATTAGAGTGATACATTGTCAAGACAGGAAGACCAAAGCTTGTCAGTGAACCACTAGAAACTAGAAGAATAGAACAGGCTTACCCTCAGAAGGAACCAACCTTGCCAATAGCTCGTTTCAGACTTTTAGCCTCCAGAAATATGAGACAGTAAATCTCTGTTGTTTATTTTTTATTATTTTTAAATTTTTATATATATTTTTATATCATTTTTCATTTTTGCACAATATATACATTTTCATCTTGGTTATAGTCCCCATACAATTCCCACCCCCCTTGCTTTGATTTTACTCCTTCCTCCCCCCACCCCCGTAGTGTGTCTCTGGTTTATAGTTGCTTGTTGATTTTGATTTTTACTTTATTATAATTAGTCTTTTTCCTGGTCCCTTATTTAGGTTTTCTAAATTCCTGCTATGAGTGAGACCATCCAGTATTTTTCTTTTTCTTTCTGGCTTATTTTGCTGAGCATGGTCCATACCTTCCAGCTCCATCCATGTTGCTACAAATTGCATGAGTTTATCTTTTTGATTGCCAAGTAATATTCCATGGTGTATATGTACCACATCTTCTTGATCCAGTCATCATTTTTGGGCATTTGGATTGTTTTCAATAGCTTAGCTATTATAAAGAGTGCTACATAGGGGTGCAGGTGCCCTTTTGAATTAATGTTCTGTGTCCTTTGGCATTTCTGTTGTTTAAATCACCTAGTTCTGATACTTTATTATAGCTACCCTCAGAAATTAATACTCATCTTAAAATAGATAACAGATTAAAGTGTCAGACTGCTAGTGTCTGTCAGCCCCACCTCATCCTTTTGGGCTCCATGTTGCTTCCTCGTGGTCTAAAAGGGCTAGAGTTGTCCTTCCTCTGCTTGAGCATAGTCTCACTACCCAAACTCTGGCCCTGTTAACTTTTTTACTACCTGAAATTCTATTGACAGCTGGATCTCCTTCCAGAAGCTGCCACAGCTGCCAGAGCCACACTCCAGCCTCCAAGGATGAGCACTCTACAGCATCCCTCATCCCTTCTTACCTGACCCCCTCATTTCACCCTCCTGTCATTCTGACTCCAATCACATACTCATGCTTCCAACAACATGAAAAGAAAACAATCCCTGGAATTTTCAGCTTCCTCCAACTGTCACCCTAGTTTCTCTTTACATTAACAGTTGATTTTTCAAATATATGATCCAAATCAGCAGTGATTTAAGATTGAGTACTTTACTATGTACATTTTTGCCCTCTCCAACTTCTACCTCTCCAGTCTGTAAATCCCTGTAGAATAAGTTACTAAATTAAGAAGGATAATAGTTTGTTTTTTGAAAGTTGTCATTCTCCAAATTTTTAGGATTGGACGGTAATAGTTCTTCTCTTAGCTAACATTTGCCTCCTTCAGTGGTTAATTTATTCTTTGCCCTTGACTGTTGCTTTTCTACTGACAGACTTTTCAAACAGAGACCTCTGAGGTAGATGCTGCTTGTGATTCTACACAGCTCTCAAAGATTTCCCTAAGGAGTGACTCCAATCCACAGGGTTGGGGCCCAGAGGCTACATCTGACTATGATTCAGTGGCCTTTGCCATAGCTGATTTTTAAAAAGATTTATTTATTCATACAAGAACTGGGGTGTAAGCCAGAGGTGTGGGAGTGAGAGGATTCACCAGAAACAGATTGGGGAACAGAACAGGCAGATTGACAAAATACACTGCTGAGGGGAGCAGTAGGCAAGACAGGAGAGGTCTGCTGCACCATGTGGGTCAGCTCCCTGGCCGGGGATTGGACTTGTGCTGCAGTGGCTGGAGATAGCTTCATAGTGCTGTGTCTCTAACCCCTGTGCCACTAGGGAGGCCCTGCTATAGCTGATTGATCCACTGGCGGCTGATCTTTGTTGAGTCCCTAACTGGAACCCAAGGTAAGGCATAAAGGGGAAGAGATAGGAGCCTGGGTTTTGTTGCTGTTAAATTGCTTCAATGGCAAGACTCCAAAGAGAAGATCAACTTTTTTTTAAAAGACTTATTTTTTTATGCATACAAGAACTGGGGTATAGGCCAGAGGTGCGGGGGGTGAGAGGATTCACCAGAGACAGAGTGGGGAGCAGAACAGGCAGACTAACTGAAATACACTGCTGAGGGGAGCTGTTGCAGTGGCTGCTGATAGATTCATAGTGCTCCGTCTTAGCCCCTTGAGTCACCAGGGAGCCCTGAGAAGATCAGCTTCTACTCTACAAGTGTCCAGAACTGTCTGGGGTCCTTTCCTTCCCACATCTCAGTCATCTGATTCTTTCTTATTCCAGTATAGAAATTACAGTGACCTCTGGTTTTATATCAGGCATGACAGGAGCTTAGAAGTCATCACATCTGTCATACAAAAAGAAAAATCCTGAACAAATGGGAAATCAGTAGCTCTTCTTGTATCTATCAGAGAAGTGACATCACAGGGCAACCCACACACACACACATTAAAGAAATGGACTATGGGATATAGAGAAACACAACTTACCAGAGTGGAAGCCCAGGAGCAAAAATCTCCACAGGAACTGTTGCTGGGTTCTGCTCATCTGATACATATCTCACTTTCAGCACACTAAGCACTATACCTTCCCTTCTTAGTTTAATGTAGCAGTGAGGCTTGTGAGGCTCAGTCCCAACAAACACCATCTGATTATTCATTTACATATTCAATAGCTACCAAGTGCCACCCAAATAAAATGGTGTATACTGACCTCAGAAATGCAAAAACATGCTTTCCTGGCACTCTTAGTCTGTTGGAAGCAGATTTGTAATATCCTGCAAAAGCAGAAGTACCAAGAAGTGTTATGGGAAATTGCTTTTGACTGTGGATATTTGGGAAAGATTTTGAAAAGCTATGACATTTCAACTAGGTCTAGGAAGGTTTCAAATACACAGACAAGGGTGGGGTGGTTTCCCTTCACATAATGGGAAATGAGGATATAGTTTAGGACTAGAACATGAAGGACAAAGAATGGGAAGGGGTGGAAGGTCCGTGCCCTAGAGTCGTGGGACCAGACCCCTGATTAAAATAAATCTTACTGTTTGGTGTACAATGAACTGGAAAGGGAGAAGCAAAGTAAAGAAGTCCAGGCAGTCCCTGCCTTATGATGATTTGACATAAAACTTTCTTTTTTACTTTCTGATGATGTGAAAGCATTATGTATGTATTCAGTAGAAACTGTACTTGGAATTTTGAATTTTCATCTTTTCCCATGTGAGCCATATGCAGTATAATATGCACTCACAATGCTGGGGGGCAGCTGAGAGCCAGCCTCCAGTCAGTGCCACAGTTGGGAGTAAACAATGTTTCTTACTTTAAGCACAGTATTCTGTCAATTACATGAGCCATTCAACACTTTATTATAAAACAGCTTTGTATTAGATTTTGCCTGATTGTAGGCTTATGAGAGTATTCTGAGCACATTTAAGGTAGGCGAGGCTGGACTATGTAATGGTCAGTAGGTTTTTGTACCAAATGCATTTTTAACTTACATTTTCACATATGGTGGATTAATTGGGATGCAACTGTACCGTAAATTAGAAAACTCTGTACTTAAAACCTAAACAAGATAGAGGTAGTGAGACAAGAAAGTCACATGCTCAGTGAGAGGCAGACGGGATGGGATTCGTTAACTAGATACATTAATCCAGGGGACAAAAGGAGACAGAGAGGGAGGTGGTACTTCCATTGATGCATTTCTTTACTCTACACTCTGCTCAGCCATGGTGATTTGTAGCACTTTGCTGTCTCAAAGGGGTCCTACCAATTCTCTAAGCCACTGTAACTGACCTGAAATTGTTATAGAGCAACCCCGATATTAAACGGGTTCCTGGCTGTGGGTCCTCACCCGCACGCTTTAAAGGGACTTATGAATACTCTACTACAGACACACGCAAAAGGGTTAATAAAAGGTTTATTTACAAGAGAAAAAGAAATAAGGAAAATATACAACTCAGGGAGAAAATAGAGAAATAAAGTCTTTAATGCGTCCTACCCGATCCGACGACCTGGAAACCCAAAGTCACTCTCTGAGCTGGCCGGACGCTGCGAGCTGGCGGAGAGCCAAAATGGAGAGCCCCCCAAAGCCCACGTGTCTGCCTTTTGTATCCACCTGGCTGCTTAACCCCACCGTCAGGTCCCAGCCACCTTCCCTTTGGTGGTGATGGGATTTGGAGTTCCCAGTGTCTTTGGCTTTGACCTGGGGTGGGGGTGGAGTCCACAAAGCCTGTATGGAATTTGCTTTGGGACATCCTTTTCCCCCTAACAAAATGTATCCAGGTACAGATACAGGTGGGGTTCAGATCATCATAGAGGAGCATTCTTGGCAGGTCCTCCACAGCACCATTCCCAGGGAAACACAGTACAAGTAAGCAATAAGTAAAATGGCCTTAGAAAAGAACTATCTAGTACCTTTCTGTAGGAATTGTGCAGAAGGTGTATTGTGAGGTGGAGAGGGGCAGCCCAACCACATCCTCCGTGAAAAGGAATACAGAGGCCAGTTCTTTAAGAAGATAGGAACTTCAGCTGGTGCATTTAACTGAATATCTGTTTCAGCATCAGCTCTCAGAACACATCTTCTCCCCACCCAAGCCCTGCCCGTGTCACAGGTACATTATTTGCATACATTACATTTTAGTCACTACCCCGAACAGTAAGTCACAGATTTTCCAAACTGAAAGTTATCTTGTAGATCACAGAGTCCAGTGCCCTCATTTCAAGTCTGAGGAAACGAGTCCAGAGGAATTAAGAAGCCTGCCTAAGTCTGAGCAAGTAACCCTAAACAGGTAACTTGACCCCTCTGGCCTTCCGTGTCTTTGTCTGTAAATGGAAATAAACATTGTGCTTATTTCATAGGGTTGTAACTTGAATTAAATAAGTCTATGAAAGTAAGGTGCTTTGAACAGTATCTGGAACATGCGACAGATTTTTTTTTATTACTATTGTTGATGGCTCTAAAACTATGTTTTGTCGCAGATAGCTCTGAATGGATTTATGATCGCTTCAGTCATTAAATATTTACTGGATATCCACCAGGCACCACGAGTTATATACTAGGTGCTAGGGAAGGCTCTGTCTCCCCTCAGTGCCTGCCCTCAGGTATTTCACAGGTCAGTGGTTGCTGGTATGATGCAGGACTGGGTGGAGAGCTAGATAAGAATACTGCTGCAGGCATCAGGAAATCTTTTAGAGATATCTGATTCTTTTTGAGGATGAGTCTGTCAGCTGGGGAGAGAAGGGAGACAACCTTACAGGCATTCCAGCCTCTGGCAAAGGCTTGGATCTGAGATTTGGCAAAAGAAGGCAGTGGTAAGAAAAGAGGCTACAAGAAGGAGCTTGGGGCGACATTGCAAAAGGTTCTCATAAATAATTGCACACTTCCTGTCTGTCCCTGAGGGGTAATTAGCACAGTGCTTAATTAAAAAAAAAAAAAAAAGACCTGATTGATTTCTTTTTCCCCTTAGACACACATGGATTCCCAGATACATTTTCAGTTCTTTTCTCTACCTGAATCCCACATTGTTAGGTACCTCAGTATTTCTTGTTACTTCTTAGCTCTGCCCTAATCAAACTGTCAGAACAGAGTGTTTTATAAATGGAGGGAAAACTGTTGACATTAAAAAATCTTGGCCTGGGAGGGAGCCTCAAAACACAAAAAGAAAAAGGAAAAAACAACCTGATGTATGTATCAGAACATATTCACCCCCTCACCCATCTACCCCCACCCCCAGCCAACATGAAGATATCTGGTTTAGAAGGACAAGGAAAGTCCAGGATGGGCTAGAAGACAGTGATAAAAATCATTAGTAGGTAGTTCCTTGAAAAAGGAGGTCTGAACCCTGACTGCCTCTTCTAACTTGTTCTAGGGGTAGAGTGGAGGGAAATGATGAGAGAAAACACAATGTCGCTTAGAGAAGCTAAGAGCAGAGGACTCTCATCCCCCAAATCCACTGGCGCAGCCCAGGATGGATATGACTGGTGGGCCTGCACAGCTCTAAGGGTAGAAGGGAGTCCATTGAGGCTGAGAAGCACATAGAAGCATCAAAGAGCAAGGAACAAACTCAGCTATGAGTTGTATAGATGGAAGACAGAGTGTAAGATGCTATGTATGCCCTCTAGAGCTGATATCCAGGCCTATGGGAAAGCAGGGAGACTCCCTAACTGGCTACAGATGGCCCTTGAACAACTCAGGTTAGTGGTGCCCACTCTCCGCACATGTGACTTTTGATTCCCCCAAAGTTTAACTGCTTACTATTGACCAGAAGCCTTACCAGTAACATAAAAAGTCAAGTAACACATATTTTGTATGGTATATGTATTTTATGCTATATTTTTACAATAAAGTAAGCTAAAGAAAATGTTATTAAAAATCATAAGAGAAAATACACTTGAAATACTGTACTAATTTGTCAGTATCATAAGTTTATATCATGTTTACAAGAGGACTCTCAGTACCTATCTCAATATTACATGATTCAAAATACTGTATATGTTATATTACTAATACTAGACATCAAAAATTAAAAGATGTAAAAAATTCATGCATACAGTTATAACAGTTCATATATTGATAATGTTAATTGAAAAAAGTAAGTGGACCCATTTAATTCAAATCTGTGTTGTTCAAGCCTCAATTATACCTTTAAATTTCTGTCACCAAGAGAAATGAATAGGATGTCTAGAAAAGTAAGTGTACTTTTTTTTTATACATCTGGGGTTTAGGGCTACCCTCGATAACTACATAAAAAATTTAGTAAACTTTAAACTCATTTTCACATATTTTATTCTAATATTTAATAAAATATATTTTATTTTTATTGAGGTAACATTTCATTATATAAGTTTCAGGTGTGCATTATTAAAAATCAACATGTATATATATTACATTAAATTCACCACTTAAGGTCTAATTTTGTCCTTCACCATACAATTGAACCCTTTTACCCACTGCACTTCTTCTTCCCTTCTGGTAACCACTAATTGATCTTAAGATCTAAAAGTTTATTTCAGCACAAGCTTCTTGGGCATCCACTAAGTTACAAAGCACCCAATACTTCAGTTGGGGAAACAGACTTGCAAATTATGTGCAAACTCAAAGCACACACAGGAGATTTAGCATACTGTGGAATACTACTTGTGTGTTCTGATTGGCAGGAGGGAAAAATCTCGAGGAAGGGACTGGACTTGGCCTGGGCTTAGAGGGGTGAGTAAGAAATTGATTGGAAAAGTAGCAGCAGTTTGTAGCTGTTGAAAAAGTTGGACCCAAGTTTAGAGCACAAGACTGGAGGGAAACATCCACAGGGGACTAACATGTCCTGGATCCCAGTTTACTCTTAATGGACTGGCACCTCCATTCTTCAGATCTTTAGGCTTTTATGTTTTGATGCATTTCTCCACTCTCTTCTCAATACCAGGCCTTTTCAACTCTTGTTTTTGGGGAATTAAATTTCATATAACAATAGCAATAAACATCACAAAATTTTTAAGTAACTATAATTTAGGGATTTGGCATGGTCTTAAGCTTTTTTAAAAAATATTTTCTTTGGGCCTCCCCTGGTGGCGCAGTGGTGGAACGCTGGCCTGCGAAGCTGCCCACAGCCTCTGCAGCGCCAGTTCGATCCCCGGCCACTGGTGAGGGTCCCACATGGTGCACAGACCTCTCTTGCCATACCCACTACTCCCCTCAGCAGTGTATTTTGGTCCATCTGCCTGTTCTGCTCCCCACTCTGGCTCTGGTGAATTCTCTCACCCTCCCGCGCTTCTGACCGTACCCAGTGCTTGTATAAGTAAATAAATAAATCTTTAAAAAAAAAAATTTTTTTATCCTTATCATAATCCTAAACATAAGAATCTTTTCCCATATGGAAGTTTTACTTGCCCTTTTCCAATCATTATCTTAATCCTAATATTACCTAAATAACTATTAAAGTTTTTCTAAAATATTCTGTATCATTCAGTGTTATTTGCCATATACATAGTGTTTTCTTTTTTTTTAAAAAGATTTATTTTTATTTATGCATGCAAGAACTGGGGTCCAAACCAGCGGTGGGGAGGAGGTGTGAGAGGATTCACCAGAGACAGAGTGGGGAGCAGAACAGGCAGACAGACTGAAATACACTGCTGAGGGAAGCAGTGGGTGAGACAGGAGAGGTCTGATGCACCATGTGGGTATCTCCCTGGCTGGGGATCCAACTCAGGCTGCAGTGGCTGCCAATAGCTTTATATTGCTGAGACTTAACTCGTGGTGCCACCAGGAGGCCCTACATACTGTTTTCTCAACAAAAATAATTTTAAACTAAGCCACCAAAGTGATCTTTAACTTTCTTCTGTTTTCCATCTGGCTATTAATTATGATTTCACATTTCTCTTCTCAATGTGGTTTTTAAACTAAATTTAATTGTTCAAGAACCTATTCAGTAATTCATACCTGTCTGCTTTTCAACATCTGCTCCCTCTAGGATTTTATTCAAGCTGTTTTCTCTTCCCTCTTTCTAGAATAATATCCCTGACCTCTGCCCCACTCCTGGCAAAATCTGTTCATTAAATTATACCTATTCTTTAAGACTAGACTAAAAGGTTAGCTCTTACATGAAACCTTCTGGAAGGTTTATATCACATAACTCCCTCCTTCCTTTATATTTCCATGAGCATTGCTTCTCTGTTTCTATGTAGTTGAGTCAGGTTTTGTATGTAGTCATCTTGTATGTATATATGTATGTATGTAGATGGTGGAGCCACATTATATGTCCTATGTGTCTTATATATCCCCAGTGCTCACATTATAAAATTTTGCCCATTTGAATATATATTGAAATGAATCAAATCCAAATTTTTCACTCAGGTGCTCAGAGCCATCTCTTCCCATATTGTTCCTCCGGCATATACACTAGATTTTTTTGGATCATGATCATTAACACAATCATTTCCTCTTCTTCCCCTGGTTATTTTCTCCTAAAATGGAGGCGGAAGGAACTAGATGAGCATCTGGCAGCCAGAACTGCCTGAATGCCTGCCCTGTGTCCTCAACAGGTTAACTCAATGGAGCACATGGGGTGGGGGTGGAGACCGAGCTCTGGACCTCCAACCTGGGAGCTGCCCCCTGTGGAGGCACCCTGAGGCTGTGGACAACTGTCGTTTCAGGGAGCTGACATCATTGTGGCTGGAAGTCTGGAATTATTCATAAGTCAGACCCAGATTCCAGCAGATTTTCCGAAGAGAGGAAAAGAGGAAGAAAGAGGTAGAGAGGATTCATGTAAGTTCTTGTTGATTTCCTTTTCAAATCGATGGAGAGAGGTTAATGAGGAGAAAATGTTCCTGAGTCAATTAAGGTGTTCTAAGAAAATCACTGAATTTCTCTGTTTAAACATTGTTGGTCCATGTGCTTTAAAATATTCAGGAGGAGAAAATACAAGTCCTTTTAATGAGAAATCATTGTCGAAACTGCTGTTGCAAAGTAGTGAAGCTTTGCATAAGTAATAGCAAGTTAGATACTGGAGAATCCTATACAGCCATATGCTGAGCACGTATCTATGCAGCATCTTAGAAGCATATGTTAAAATTCTTTGGGGCTGAAGACAAAGGGTTAGTTCTTAGGACAGGTACCCAAGATGTCTTAGTCTGCCTTCTAGAATACAACCATTATGCACAGAGAATAGTTTGTGAAAACAAGAGTAAAACAGTGTTTTCATTCCCAGAGAAATATTACAGATAACAGGATGTGGCCTGCCTTGAATCCTTTACTAATCAGGAAGGAAAAAAAAGTGAAGGCATTTTAGCTACCCAGACTAACAAAATAAGAAGTAAGGCTATATCATGTAATCCAAATTTCTTATTTTGTTGATGAGAAAAACTGTCAAAAGAGGTTGAATGACTTGATTGAGATCATCGAACAGATACAAACTCAAAAATGAGAGGAGCTGAAGGAAATAATGTCAAGAGCTGAAGGCCATATTGCCATTAAACAGTTCTTATTGATAACATGAAGGATAGGAGAACCCCCACGTCCAGTTTTAATGGCTTTCACCACCCTGCCAACCAGGAAGAGGTTTGAACCACAGCATCTGGTTGCCTATGTGCCCTGGATTGGGGAGGTCAGCCAGAGAATCAGTTTTCAAATCATGGTGGCTTTAGAAAACAGCCGTGCAGGGAGAGACCAGAAAGAGAGGGAGGGCCAGAAAGTTGGAGCCTTTTGAAAGCTCTCCACAAAAGGCAAACAGTTCTCCTCTACCAATTTTGACCCTACCGACCTCATGACCTTGTTACCTAAGGTCAGCTTAACACTTTAGAAATGGTTCTGGCTGGCTCTGTAACCTCTGTCACTCACAACTAACAAATATGTCTTTACTGGGGTCGCCTTTGGACCAGAAACTGGCAGATTCCTTTTTTCAATTCATATATTACCCAAAAGTCTATTTGCTTTCTATTAAGACATTCAAGCTAATTTGAAACCATTTTCACTAGAACAAGATAACTGCAATAATTTTCATGAACACAAAATTCTCTAGAGAGTCTAGATCAATACACAGGTTTTGTTTTGTTTTGATTGAGGTAACATTGGTTAACATTATTGTTTGTGTTTTAGAGGTATAGGATCTCTTCACTCAGGTGTTGTTACCACACTGCACCCACCACCAAGACCCTATAGTCATTGTTGAAAACTGAGTACATTTCATATTGACACTTAGAGAAAGCATAGTGCTTGCCCCTGTAAACATTCATGCTGCTATTCAAGAAGAGAACACAGTGGCTGGAAATGAATTTTGAGTTCTCAAAAAAGCCCTGTGTTTGGAGGAATTGTCAGTTACCTCTTTAGTGTATAGAGATGGTTGGAAAGAGTTGGGGGCCTAAAAAAGACAGTCATATCCAGTTAATTCTCATCATGCAGTCAGAGGTTGAAAGATCAAGGACTCATTTATAGGGGGGAATCTCCATGTTCAAAAAGATGATTAAGAAGACTATGGGGGGCCTCCTTGGGGGTAAAGACACTGCTATCAAGTTTTCACCAGCCACTGCAGCATGAGTTCCATCCCCAGCCAGCCAGGGAGCAACCCACATGGCACAGCAGACCTCTCCTGTCTTACCCGCTGCTCCCCTCAGCAGTGTACTTCAGTAGATCTGCCTGTTCTCCCCACTCTCTGGTGAATTCTCTCACCCCCCACACCTCTGGCCTGTACCCCAGTTCTTATATGCATAATAAATAAATCTTTGGGGAAAAAAAAGAAGACTGCAGGAATAAAGCATAGTCATCAATTTCAATTTTATTGAAGGCAAGAGAGCAATCAAAAGAGATATTTTACCTAGGCCCCAGCCCTCAGGTTTCATACATTTACTGAAAGAGATCTGATTAGGTACTTACCATCTCAAGATTCTCTCTGGCTAGTCTTCATATTCAAATAAGGTGGAAACCAGATTTAGCAAGGTTCCCTTATAAGAGTGGGTGAGTTTAGCTTCCAAGTTTTGGTCCTCAGATCTTCTTTTCTAAATTTAATTGAACCACACTGTGCTGCATATTAGGAATTCAGAACCAAATAAAGCATAATCCCTAAACTCAGTGAGCTCAGGATAAGGAACTATTCTGGAAATGAGTGAAATGAAGGATAATGTGAGTCAGAAGAAGGCAGAAAAAGCACACAAGAGTGTAGTGGGGGTGGGAAGTGGCAAGGATGGATTCCCTATGAAAGGTGTGAGAGTGTGGTAGTCGGCTTCCAAGTTAGTATTACCTCTGGTATTTACACTCTGGTATTTACTCTCTCACATTATATCAGAGTTAGCCTCTGTGACCTGCAGAATATGGTAGACCTATAGAAAATGTGACTTCTGACATAAGATCATAAAAGACATTGCTGTTTTGCTTTGTTCTCTCGGGTCACTCAGTGGAGGGAAAGTCAAGGAGCTGAAGAGAGGCCCAAATTGGGAGAAACTGCAAACTTTTACTAACAACTGGCATCAACTTGATGAGTCAGCTGGGAAGTGTACCCCAAATCCTGCTGACATCTTGACTGCACCCTCCTGAGATACCCTTACTTAAGATGCTCCTGAATTTCTAACCCATTGTGATAGGAGAATAATGATCCCCTCCTCCAAATGTCCATAACATATTCCCCAGAACCTGCAAATATTATATTATGGAGCAAAGGGGAATCAAGGCAGCAGATGGAATTAAAGTTGTTAATCTGTTGATCTAAAATAGGGAGTTTATCCGTGTGGGCCCAGTATAATCACACCCCTCCTTAAAGGTGGAAGAAGAGAACAGAAGAGGCCAGAGTGAGCTGAGAACTCAACCACAATTGCTGGCTTTGAAGATGGAGAAAGGGGCACGAGACAAGGAATGTGGTGGCCCCTACAAGCTGGAAAGCACACTGTCCCTAGAGCCTCCAGAAAGGACCGCAGCCCTGCCAATGTCTTGATGTTAGTCCTGGAAGCTTGGTACAGACTTCTAAACAGTGGAACTGTAAAATAATATATCTGTGTTGTTTTAAGCCACAGTGTTTATGGTAATTTATTACAGCAGCCACAGAAATGTAATACATGGATTCAAACGCCAAGGATAAAAAAAAAATTGGTGTTATTTTAGGATGCTAAATGGGTGGTAATTTCTTAAGTATCACTAACAACCAATACAGATTTTGTGCCAGAAAGTGGGCTGCTATCAAAATGAAAATGTAAAATATGAGGGAAATTTGGAACCAGACAATAGGAAGAAACCAGAAAGACTTTAAGGAGAGTATTAGTAAAAGCCTCAAGGTCACTGGAGAGACTGCCAGTTGAAGCCTGGTGACATTTGCAGAAACTGACAGTGAAGTCTTAAAGTTCGAAAAATTTTATTAGAAACTGGAGGGAAAGTGATCCCTGTTATATAGTGGCAGAAACTGTGGTGGTAATAGGAAAAGTGGTAAATGTGCCTAGTGAACTAAGTGACCTAGTAAAGTGATTTCCAGGCAGCATTGAAGGTGCCACCCAATTTCTTGTTGCTATTTCTAATAAAGTGTGAGAGGAGACAGATGAGCCAAAGAAAGTTCTATTAAATAAAAAGATCTCAGGAATTTCTGGGGAATTCCATCTCTTCAGATGACAGATGATGCTAAAATCAATAAATGGCTTCCAGACTAAGAGAAAAGTCCAAGACATTCTCAGGACACTATATAATATAGAGGAAACTCACTTGGAATCCTTTGTGAAGACCTCCTTAAAGATTCAAGGTTTTGCCTCAGAAAAGGTTTCAGTTACATGGTCCAACCACTATGGAAAGCTGTGTGGAGATTCCTCAACCTGCTAAAGATGGAGCTTCCATATGATCCAGCAATTCCACTCCTAGGTATTTACCCAAAGGGCACAGAATCATTAATTAAAAAGGGCACCTGCACCCCTATGTTTATAGCAGCACAATTTACAATAGCTAAGCTATGGAAACAACCCAAATGCCCAAAAATAGATGACTGTATCAAGAAGATGTGGTACATATACAGAATGGAATATTACTCAGCAATCAAAAAAGATAAATCCATGCCATTTGTAGCAACATGGATGGAACTAGAAGGGATCATGCTCAGCAAAATAAGCCAGAAAGAAAAAGAAAAATACTGGATGGTCTCACTCATAGCAGGAGTTTAGAAAACCTAAATAAGGGACCAGGAAAAAGACTAATTATAAAAAAGTAAAAATCAAAATCAACAAACAACTTTAAACCAGAGACACACTATAGTGGGGTGGGGCTGGAGGGTTAGAAGGGATTATGGTCAAAATAAGAGGGGGTGGGAATTGTATGGGGACTATAACCAAGATGAAAATGCATACATTGTGCAAAAATGAAAAATGATGTAAACATATATAAAATAAAATATACTTAATAATAAAATTTTAAAAAAGAAAGGTTTCAGTTACAAAACAGGACTTCTAAGAAGTTTAAGGGTGTTCTACCTTATTAATGGATGAAACTTCTGGGGATCTGTGGAGAGGGTAAATATATTTTGTATGTGAGAGACACATGAAACATTGGGGGTCAGAAGGCAGACTGTGGACACCAGCTTGTTTCCTTGTATTCACATCTTTGTGTAGTATTGTCTGTTAGTATATCAGGGTTGGTCTGTATGACAAATAGAATATGCATGAATTCTTTAGCTAAGTCATTAAGGACATGCCACTTTTTCCTTGTATCTTCAATCATTCCATTGTTCGACCAAAAAGTAAATAAAACTCATAGGCATGAGGCAATTTTTTTTTAAAGATTTATTTATTTATTTATTTATTTATTTA